AGGCGAGAAACTACTCATTCGTTTGCCGACGGCCGTAAGTCATTGGCTTACCTCTTTATTGAACCCATGTTTCTGTTCCACGACGAACGTGGAGTAAATCGTCAACGGCAGATAGACCACGTCGTAAACGACAGACACAACGAACATGCAAACGCCGCTGAGGAGAATCTCATTCGATTCGTCGAAACCAAGATAACCGACCAAACGGACGCTGGACACCCAAAATCGACGATAGCACATGGTCAGCAAGAAGATCTACAACGCATCACTGTCAAAAAATGACACGCATCCGCACTCGTACGCGCGTGCGATCCAGCAGAGACGAAGACCATACGTACTGTATTGAAAATCTCGGAATACGTGTCTTGGAAAATACCGAAGTTCAATTTATCCAGAGAATAGTCGCGCGCCTTCTCGTAGACCTCTCTCGTCATTAAACCTCGGACTTGTTCCGGCAATTCCACCAAACGTAGTACCAAAGCTCTCTGAAAAAATACGCGGCAGTACTCATAAACACGCAGCAGCGCACGTATCAATCGACAGGTTTCCAGTCTCGTTCCACAGCAAACACACCACCGCCACCGAACGACGTTCAAGTGACAGGAACAATACACCAGAATACTCAGCAAAGGACGATTCGTGACGACGACCGTAAGATCGCAAAAAGAGAACAATGGTACACAGTACACGCGGCGGTGGCGGAGTCGGGTTAAACGGGCACAGAGAGACGGTACGACGATTTACCTGACGCAGACTCAAATACAATTTCCAGAAGAACAGAATCCATGTCGCTGCCAGAATCTCATACAGTATATTCTCCTCGACAAAGTTTAGAAACGTGGTGGACATAGTTTCGAGCCGCAACGAAAATCGTCAACCTCGCGTTCTACAAGTCTACCACTCCTCCACAGTCCACGTCCACACGGCGGCGACGATCACGCACGATGGTACGCACGTACGTGCACACGACCACAGTCACGTACACACGTACCGGCGTTGGTCCCGTTCGTCGCCGTTTGCGCGCGCCAGCGTCGTCACTGTCGTCAGTAGACACACGACACACTCACTACCCGACTCGTGACACGTACGGCGTACGACGCACGTTACACACGTACGTATTCGCGTAGTCACGCGTACACGGGCACAGGTTCGCGCGTGTGTGTGCATTCCTGCTGGTTTCGCCACGGCGGCAGT